AGGCCAATGTTCTTTACTGTTGAGCCACAGAAAGCCCTTGATATAATCCAACATTAAACCACTAGTTGACTTCAATATTTGATAAATTTTTATAATTAGAATACCGATTATCCAATTTTAATTATTAATTTTGCAGATATGCCAGGTAAGCTATTTTACAAATAATTATAAAGTAAAACCGACATTACAACGAACTGAGATGAGAATAAAACTGGAAACCTTTAGTTGCAAGGCCAAAGCTCTTTACGCTTGAGCCACAGAAAGCTCATAATGCAATCTGACAACAAAATATCTTGAAGCTTCCTTTGCTACAAGAAAAAAATGATATCGAAAACACGTACAGATGATCTTATCACATGAGATGAGTTCGTTGCATGGCTGATAAATTTTCATCATAGCGTGTCCATCTATTTCCATTGGAATAACACATTTAATCTGTTAGATTATTTGACAAAACTATTGTAAAATATTAATTGCGCCAAATGGAGCGAAGATTACAATGAAAGCAAAGTTATTAGGTAATTACTTTATGCTTACAAGCAGAGTACACTGTTTGATAAGCCGATAAGCCGTGGCGATGTTTCGAGCACGTTTCTATGGAAAATGCATACATAATTTCCATTCCACTCTATCCTAGAGCTACTAACTAAATGCAATATGATGGGCATAAAGCCCCCGGTCTGGAGCTTAATGCATTTTAAAAATATTAATACTATACATTTTCATACGTTGCTGTTATAAATGACATATTAAAACTTATTACAGCGTCTTAAAAAACATTATAACATACTTAGTAATATACACTATTTTTTAATTCCTCTTAGTAGAATAAAATTATCAGAGTTTTTTTGTTAAGCTGTGGCAATAAATTTTCAGTAAGTTCAATTCAACTTTCGACTTTATGGTATAGACTATAGACAGACATCTAGTATATATATATATATATATATATATATATATATATATGTATATATTTATATTTATCTATTTATTTATTAACCCTTATCTCTCGGATGCCGCCACTCCGGCGGCAAAATTCATATAAATCTCGGAATTCGTGAGTGGAAAGGGTTTATAAGCAAGTTGTAATTTTCAATAATAAATATTATTTCAGGCTCTTGTTAAGATCATATTTTAATGCTGTTAGACTGATAATTTGATATAAATAAATTAAATAGCGTGTGTTTGATAAAAATTAAATACTTCATAATTATTTCTGACGTTATCATACTCTACAATTACTTGATGTATTTTACAAAATTTTCACAAATAATTAACATAATTAAAAAAAAACTTGTGGTGCATGGCTTTGTGTTTTAAGGAAAATAAGTGGAACTTTACGTACACATATTATACATTCCAGAAATAAAAATAATCAATCATCAACCTAAATTTATCAATGAGCAATAACGATTGTTTTAAATATTTCATCGACATATTTTATATATTTCTTATATTTGGACCACGATTATTATTCATGCTTATTAGAGTGTTCCTTAATATGGACATTATCGAATTTCTTTGCTCCCAAAGGCTCAAATGGTTCCAAATTAATAAAAAACAATTATCTGAAAGTTTTAGCTTTTAATATTGTCTTTTATATAGAAATAGAAATATCATGGAAAAAATTTCAAAAATTTTACAAATGTTTTTTAGATATAATTTAGTGAAAATTTATTCAAAATTCGTCGCTTTACAAAATAAATAAAAAAAATTCAATAAAAAATTACACGAATTTTCACTCTTAATTCATTTGTCGCTAAGTTATACCTAAAAAACATATCTAAAATTTGCAAAATTTTTTCCATGCTATTTTCATACGAAGCATTTGAGTTGTGAACGTTGTAGACATGTAAGTTTCAATTCATCAAAAAGTTAATATTAAGAGCTAAAACTTTTAGAGATTTTTTTTATCAATTTCAAAGCATTTGAGCCATTGGGAGCAATGAAATTCGAAAATGACCATATTAAGTACTACCCTAATATTTATCTTCAAGAAAGAAAACATAAACACACACCGCCGACATAAGTAATATGCTTTTTGAATCACTATAACCGGATGCGCCTTTTTTTCCAACACTGCTATTCTTAGCACTTTTTGCTCTAAATTCCTGAAACTCTTGCCACCGCATTAATTCAATCAATTATTCACTCTATCAATACAAATCGAATGTTTTTTGAATCATTCTAATCAAATGTGCCGATCTTTCAAAAACTGGTTGTTTTTGTGCTTTTGCTTCTCCGTGACACCTGCTTTTGCCGGAAATCAATAAAAATGTCTCCCCGTCAATACTAAACGAATGTTTTTTGAATCATTCAAATTGGTTGAACCATGATTTTGATATCGTAGTCAAAAATTTGACTACACGAGCATACTCACATATACACAGGAATTTTTTCAAAGGTATGCCAAAATATTCAGAAATCTATGAAACGTAAAGATATGCAAAAATTTCCATTTTAGTTTTTTTTCAACTACTATAAGCTTTGACTATAACCATAACTATAACTTACCCTAAAAATTAGGTCTAGCATTCAAGTAACTCATTTTTCAAATATTTTATGATCTTTTTTCACGAAATAGATTCATGGATATCGGTACTTCCATTAATTATAAGATAAATGTAATATTGGATTTAATACTATTTCAACAATATTGGTATATTGGTATATAATATTCAACCAATCCATAACATTTTATAATTTTTATTATCTATTTCTCTGAAAATCTATGGAAATAGAATCAGGGATCTCGGTACATGCATTAAGACATATTCGAGCAAGTCAACTATCTTGTACAACATGAATCTTGAAGATATAACACCATGTTCACGCGTACAATGCTTCAGTGCCTGCCTTACACTTCCTTCGTTCTATCCGCTCAAGTGCATGCGATACTTGATAGTCCGAGGGGCATAGACAAGGGAAATGATAGATTGATGATCTGAGTAAATAGGACATGAAACTTTGTGGTAAAGCCTCTATGGGAACATAAGTGATTTTAAGTTTGATAGATGTTAAATTCAATTAACAATTTTTGAGAAGCTGAACATGTCTCGCACCTAAAATTATAAGACACTTTACTTTCTCATACTCAAGTAAGTGAACATATTTTTTCTGCTCGAATTTTCATTATTACAAATATGATGCAAAGACTTGACAACAGCGTTTTATGTCACAAATCATGATCTGGTTATAGTGTATCTCATGATATTTTCATTAAATTGGGTGCATTACTTATACTATTAACACGTTCGCTGACATGAATTCTATAGCATTCATTTTCTTTGTGATGCAGAATAACATGAATGCTACTGTGTTCAAAGTTGAAAGTCAATTATTTCGAATTTTATTTTATATTACGTTACGTTTCTGTAATCATTATACCTGCCAAGTTGATAACTAACTGATTAATTAGGTATTTTCGTATTATTTCATTATTAATTAGATTGGGCAAGTACATAGCGTAAAATAAAAGCGTAATGCATGACTTATTTTAATTAATTTTCAAAAGTTTCAAAACAAACTTTCCTGATAAACGTCTCATGCCCAAAACATTAGACATGAAAATTTTTAGACTAAATTTCATTTCATTCTTGCGCATGTTTATAGAGCTCAAAATTTCAGTTTTAGAGCAACCATTCCTGAAATAAATCTTATGCCCAAAACATTTGAAACTAGTGGTGTATGGCATTGTGTCTTAAAGCAAATTGCTGGAACTTTCCGTACCATAACGAAAAGTTCGAGGAATATTAAATGTTTTGAAATAGATTATTATAAATACTGTAACACTCTCTAATATTTGTTTAATATTTCATATATCATCGAAATTACTGAATGTCTTCCTTTTTGTAAAGACAGATTGTAATTCAATAAAGAGAAATAAAAAAAACTCTCTAATATTTATTTATAAGAATTATATAAACTGAACTGCGACGTTGAAATTATTCATTTAAGTGAGCTTTAGAACTTTAGCCAAAATTAAAACTAAAATCTGAATTATTTTCGATAGACAAAAATATTTTTTAATAAAAGGAAAGTTTTTTTAAAAAAATTTTGAAATAAAATTTTTCTTTTCCAAAAGCAATTATTTTCTCAAAATAAGCAGAAAGTTTTTTGAATCATTTAAATCAGATGCTTAGTTCTCTCAACATACACACATCCATTTTTTCTGAGGTATGCCAAAATGTATAGAAACTTTCAAAACGTGAAGATATGTAAAAATTTTCATTTTAGATTTTTGGCCCATTAGTATAACTACCTAAGGTAGTAATTAAGTATAACTATTAGTATAACTACCTAAGGTACGTAAGGTAGTCTACCTTACGGAAAGTTAAAAATTCAGTACTACAAGCCGACTAATGTGGGAACCTATAAAAAATTTCATCGACGAACTTGAAGGTCATTTCCAAAGTAATTTCTTATCACAGCTGGGATTGTATCTTTGTCAACTTCACTTCATCATCATCGTTGACAAATATGCTATAAACTTAGAGCACAGCACACTTTAAGATTTTAGCTCCTAAGTTGGTCTTCAATTGATCATAATTCTCAAGTTTCAGAACAAAGCTTTATGATAAATGTAAAAAATGGTAAAATGGTAAAATGGTAAATTTAGCAACATTTTTTATGTTGATTTTTAATGACAAGTTGATTTAAAACTAATTTTTAAAGACAATCTCTTGCAAGATTTTTAACAATATCTAGCCATATTTTGGTAACCATGGTCATCATTAAACGTGAAAATTGGAGAGAAATTTCAAAGTATATTCAAATCAACATTTTAAGAATATTAGAATATTTCATACTACACAAAATTTGAGGCAATTGATATACCAATGCAGCAATATAGATCTTATTTTTCAGCACACCTTATTTGTTGCAAAAAGTATGAGTCTTTGCCCCCCGGACAAGTCAAAGCTAAAGTATATACAGTATACACCTAGGAGTGTATTCTCGTAACAATGTACAATATACAGAGTATTCGAGTGCTTGCCTACCTCCTTGGAGCGAAGGATATATGTAGAAGGCGGGCTCCTGCAGCCAGGATACGACTCGGACCAGGTCCTTGACGAAGCTCGGGACGACGCAGCGCAAAACCGCGGTACAGCCGCGGGACGCGCCGAGCACTTCGGCGTCCACTTTATAAGCTTGGGCGACCACTGGAAATTAATGGAGATTGTTTAGCAAATTGTTGGGATAATTGTAAAACTTTGTTTTGGTATATAATTATATTTTAAGGAAATGGGAGGATAATGATGCTACCAAAGATAATTTTTAACTTCTTGAAATAGAAATGTATGTGAGTTGGTGAAAACTAATATATAGTTATATTCTAATGAGTTCATACCCAAGATAGAGTAGAATTTTGAGTCGAAACGTATGGAATAATATACATGTTGTAAACATCTTTTCTTAATTTTTTTTTTATTCTGATGTTACGCACGCCAAGTAAACACTCATTTCAACATCAATATATATATATATATATATATATATATATATATATATATATCTACATATATACAAAAATAAGTCGGGGTTTCCTTCCTGGCAATATAACTTCAGAACGCACAAGCCGAATTCGACAATTTTGCATTCGTTGGAAAGGTCCCGGGCTCCGCAAGGTTTATAACTAAGAAAATTGGTGGTGCATCGAAGCAAATTGCTGGAACTTCACGCACCGTAATTAAAAATTCGAGTAATGACATTAGTGAGAATTATCAGAATTATGCTTGGTTAAGTCAACGAGCAATTATTGCCGCAAAGAACGATGATGTACACGCACTGAATTTCATCATTCAATCAAAAATTGCTGGCGATTTGGTGACATACCAATGATTCCGACTGGTTTTCCGTTTGACTTCAAACGATTGCAATTTCCAGTTCGCCTTGCGTTCGCAATGACAATTAACAAGTAGCAAGGCCAATCGCTTAGTGTTTGCGGGATAAATTTCGAAGAGATTATTTAGAAAATCATTGTTTTTCACATGAGCAGTTATACGTTGCCTGTTCACGAGTTGGAAAACCATCCGCTTCGTTTGTGTTAACGTCAGACCAAAAAACAAAAAATGTGGTTTACCAAAGAGCACTTCAATGAAACGGATAATTTGCGGATTCACTCTCATTTACTTAGAGTTTAACTAAAAAACACTTTATTTTTGTAAGCGAAATAAATGCATTACTGTTGTGTAATAAAATCAAATTTTTCCTTTTCAAATATAAAACAACAAATTTCTTCATCTTTCTCACGAAACCATCTGGTGGTGAATCGGAGTTTGTCGGGTTTGCTAGTATATATATATATATATATATATATATATATATTTCTTTTCTAATTATCCTAGAAAATATATTCTACAATCGCTCTCATAAAGACAATTAATTGAAAACGGTTTAGAGAAAAATGTTCCCACATAAAATTCCTGCAGCTGTGATAAATAAGAAAAATAACCAAGCTCAAGTTTTTACAAGAAACAATATATCACACAAATAAATAGCTTTTACACTTTACAAAATAAAACAAGGCGCTTGTACAAACGTCAGTTGAAATAACTGGAAAGTTAGGTAGTTTTGCCAGGAGCGATATCCTATAAACACACATATATATGAAATGTAAAGTGTTTTCTTAAAGTTGAAGAAGAAATGAGTATTTATACATTGTCCGGCAGTATAACTTCTATATACATTTTTATTTAAAAAATTATAGCAAAATTGTTGTATAAAAGAACAAAACACATTTTTAAGTCTGCAAGTTTGATATGAATGTTTTATTCTACATATTTGACAAAAATTTAAAGTTGAAACATTCAATAGTTTTTCAGGTATGTGAGCTTGATGGGAAGCTGGCTTCGCTCTCAATACTGGTATTGAAACAGATTGTACGTTTTCAAAAATGCATAATTAGATTTTGATGAAACTTGACACACATTGTTACTACTCTTCACTGAATATTTGACAAAAATTTAAAGTTGGATCATTCAATAGTTTCTAAGATACACGAGGTTTATGGGTGGCTGGCTCCGCTCTCGATACTGGTATTGAAACAGATTGTACTTTTTCAAAAATGCATAATTCGATTTTGATGAAACTTGACATACATTGTTACTACATTTTACTAAATATTTGACTCAAATTTAAAGTTGAAACATTCAATCGTTTTTCAGATATGCCAGGTTGATGGGTGGCTGGCTCCGCTCTCTATACTGGTAGTGAAACAGATTGTATCATAAAAATCATAAAATTACATAATTGGCTCGTTACTATATTTTGCATATTTGTCATGAAATTTCCAGAAATTATTGTGTCAATTTCTCGAAAAAAAAAGAATTTCATCAATCGCTCGTATCAATACTTATATTGACTTATATCACAGGTTCAGCTACTTTTAAGAAAAAATAATCTACATCAATTTCTACAGTAAACTAATATCTCGTTGATCGATCTTAAAAACGCAAAGTTTATATTTTTATTTACGACTGAAAAATCTAAAATTTCTATATCAATTTCTCTCTCGATCAAATAAACTTTATAACCTTCCGTTCAGATAGATCTCGGCGTGTATCTGTTTTTGTGACTTGGGCGCATTCCCGGTAACTTTAAACTCTGGAAGCGTTCTCTCTCCTGAGGCGAAAAGCAATCAAAGTGCAGTTTGTTGCGGCGGACGGACCACCACTTTCCCACTGCTGGAAAACTCTTTTCTTTCTGAGAAACTCGTTTGGCGGTTATTTACTCCCGAACGAATGAAACAAGGATACAGGAATTCGGGTGTGTATAATAATAGACCAGGGGGTAGTTGTTTGAGAAAGTGATACATATTTACTTGAAAATTTTTGTTGATATAATATGTTATATCTGAGCACGTGTTGGCGTAACGATTAAGCACGTAGACCAGCCATAAATTAGTCCAAAATTCCGTCTCTACTTTGGCTAGCTCGATTTCAAGCAGTATGATACCAAATACCTTCTTGAGGTTATAGATCGCCTTTTATATATATATTCCAAAACTATTAATGATATATAGTACTGCTCTAAGGCAGGTTTGTGAGATGAGTTAAACTCCAACACCATTCAGAAAAAATAGTATGATATATAAAATTGAGATGCCCTCTTTGGAACAATGTGTTTAAGCTAAGATCTAAGTAATTCTGATGGCTATTCAAATAGAATATATAGTTAAGTGTAATAACGTCATGGTGTGATGGTGAAGAACGTGGAATAGCATTTCAACTTTGGCTAGCTCGATATCTAGCAGTATGATACCAAATTTTCACATGAAGTACATTGTAACTCCTTGGAAGTTTTTATTATGTTTATAAGTTATCGATAAAAGCAGCGTTTTTTGAAGATTATGAGGCGTTCATTAATCACGTGAGCGAGTTTTTAAGGATTTTTGGACCCCCCTTTCCCCTTGGTAATATATGGTGATATTCAAAATTACTCCCCCTCCCCCACCAAACATTACGTGTATTTTTAGTTACGTGATAAAACTGTAATTTTTTTGATTTTTTTTTTGAAAATGTTTGAATTTAAAAAAAAATCAGTTAAAAAATAAATACACGTGATATCTTATTATACCCCTCCCTCCACCACGTAATATTTCGTGATTTTTTGTCAAACCCCCCTCCCCCTGAAAACCCCACGTGATTAATGGACGCTCCCTTATAATTTTACGTATGCGATACTAATGAGGCATCAGAATCGTGCACCTAGGATAAATTTGTTATTTTACGTTTGTGCGTTCTGTAGGTCAGGCTTTATGAGTAAAAGTAAGATGGTAAATTTTAACAAACGATTTGCAAAAAATTTACTCAACCTATTTTTAAAATTATATGACTACGTATATGGAAAAATTTTTGCTCAGCCCTCTCTTTATCAACTCGAAAAGTGAAGATTTAACCGCTAGTGGTTTTTGCACCTGGTACATGAAGAATGTACTGGAGGTTTGCAACAATTCCGCAAAAAGTGGGAGTTTTGCCAAAACCAGAACGATGGTCAATGTACTGAGAATATGGAGAAAATTATAGAGAATAACATGTCTGACATTGAAGATTTATTATCAAATGACAAAAAAAAAATTAAATTAAATACAATTCACAACACTGAAAGAAGTTTGCCTGATGCCTGAGTAATTAAAATCTAGAAATTATTATATATTAATTATAACAAAAATAATAATGAAAAAGGCTATATAAAACACAAATATTATTTAAATAAGTATATATTTTTCAGGACTGCTATCTAAATTCTATGCTGATAAATATACACTACTTAATCAATATTAGTGTACTAAAATGTTAGTTTAATTTTTGGGCTAATTTTTGATTATTTTAAGACTACATACAAAATATATGTGATGGGATTTAATAAAAAAAGCATTAGTTATTAGTCAGGCAATTTTTTTCACAAATGGAATAGTACATTACTTGTAATTTTAATCTGCTGAACAGAATATTTTATGATTTTTTACAATTTATCGAATATGTGCTATTATTTCAGAAGCTTATAACAATAATAATAGCCAGTCAGATAACATTTATATTTATACTACGATAAATGTTTATTTTCTTCCATAACTCACATAGATTGTGCTTATACAACGTAAAACTATACTGGCTCTTTGCCAAAATAATTATCGGTCTGTCTTTGAAAATCTAGAAAATATATAAGAAATGAAGATGAGCAAATCTTCAGGAACTAATAATAAATTATATACAGGGTTGACCATAAATTGATCGATAATTTAAACAAAAGAAAAAACTGCACCACTTATTACCTATGGTGTCCCTTCTTATTTAAACGATTTTTAAGCAAATCTGAAAATTTTTACTTTGGAAAAACGAGTAGGTATATCTAATATATTCAGCAATAATAATTTTTGTGAAAAGCTATAAAAGTGTTGCAGCTACTCCTTAAACAAATATTATTATGACGTTATATTAAATTCCCATTGAGAGAATAAGCAAATATGCCCGAAGAAGAATAATCGTAATATTTTTAGTATCGCGATATTGCATTTTCGAATGATTTATTACAGTTATGTCATATCACATCAAGCGGAATACATTTCTCTCTTGGTTGTAATCTCCTCGGACTTAAATTGAAAAATAATATTATGACGGAAAATGGAACGAGAAAATGCTAAACCGCGTAAAGTTTTATT